CGGTGGGCCGGGACTGGGGCCGGGGGAGGTGCAGCAGACCCGACCCGACCCCACCCTGCTCTGCCACCAGCTCCCCGCACTGCAGGCTGCCTGGGACCTAGGGACACCCCGAGGCCACCTGGGCCTCTAGAGAGGGAGAAAGGAGGAGGAACACGTCAGAGAAACAGGTCAGGCTCTGGAGATCAGGGTGCCTCCGAGCCTCCCCTTGCCATCAGCATTTCGGGAACCCCTGGCCAAGGGCTGCCCTTCCCTCCTGCTGGGGACAGGCAGGATGGGCCGTACCTCCTTGAGACTCCAGAGCAGCATGACAAATCTGGGCTGCAAAAAGAAGGAGTCATTGCAGACCGTTTTCTGCTAAGGACTTGTGACTACACTCAGAGGAGCACCTCCGTTGGAACCATGGCTAGGATGGACTTCCCTGCCAGGCCCAGGGCTCGTGCCCTGGTTTTGGCTGGGGTAGAGTTAATTTTCTTCCTAGTAGCTGGCATAGTGCTGTGGTTTGGATTTAGGATGAGAAGAACGTCGATAACACAGTGATGTTTTAGTTGTTCCTTACACCAGTCAAGGACTTTTCAGCTTCCCATGCTCTACCAGGTGCACAAGAAGCTGGGAGGGGGCACAGCCAGAAGAACTGACCCTAACTGCCCAAAGGGGTATTCCAGACCATATGACATCATGCTCAGCATATAAAGCTGGGGGAAGAAGCAGGAAGGGGGGGATGTTCAGAGCAATGGCGTTTGTCCTCCCAAGTCACCACTATGCGTGACGGAGCCCTGCTTTCCTGGAGATGGCTGAGCACCTGCCTGCCCACAGGAAGCAGTGAATGAATTCCTTGTTTTGCTTTGCTTGCGTGCACAGCTTTTGCTTTCCCTATTAAACTGTCTTTATCTCAACCCATGAGCTTTCTCACTTTTTCTGTTCCGATTCTCTCCGCCACCCCATGGGGGGGCATGAGCGAGCGGCTGTGCGGGGCTGAGTTGCTGGCCGGGGTTAAACCACGAGAGCTGGTTCTGGTGCTGAGGATGCGTGCACCACCAGCAAGGAAAGCAGAGCCCAGCGCCCCAGCCTTGCACACTGAGCGCAGCAGGGAGAGGGCTCTGGCCTTGCTGCTGGGCCACAGGCTCCCACAGCTATCCCTGCCTGCGGGGATGGGGGCTCTGGCTGCCCAGGAGCAGGCCAGGAGACACTGACGTGTCCCTCTGCAGCAGGGTCCAGAGCAGAGATGCAGGATAATCTATAAGAAAAAAGGAACAGGACACAATTCCAACTGCTATGTGGTTTTTTGGCAGCAGAGTCAGGTGTCTCTGAAGCCTTGGGGAGAAGATGTCTGCAGCAGGATCAGAGCAGTGCCTGGCATGAGGAGCAGCAACTCCTGCCCCAGTGCAGCAGCAGGCACGGCTCAGTCAGGCTTTGGTCACGGGCATGGGGAACAGTGCCAGGAGCCCTGCGCAGTGGGACGGGCGCCTGGCCGTGCTCCAGGAATCGGTGCAGCCCGGTGCAGGCTCACACTTTCCCCTCCAGCTGACATGAGTGCATGCCGGGAGGAGGAGGGCAGGGGAGGACAGCCCTGCGGGTCAATACAGCTGCAGCATTAGTGGTAAGCAGGGAAAATTAATCTCTGGACCCAGCATGCTGGATAATGGGTAACAGAAATCTCCCATTTGCAGCTGGAGCCAGGAGCTGATGTTTTGACTTCTGACCACCAGGCAGGGCAGGGAGAGGGCTCAGCACAGGGTCAACAGAGAGGACAAGCTAGGGCAGGCAAAGTGAGGCCATGTACCCCGGGGGGATGGCAGAGCACCGGCAGAGCCAGGTGGGGAGTGGGCAGAGGTGCTCCCAGATGGAGAACCCCATGCCTGAGCTAGGTGCTTCTCCCATCACATCACCAGGACTCCTACGGAAACCCTTGATAGACACGTGTGGGCACTTCCCCAGAGCATGCCTTGTGTCCTGGCCACAGTCTCCCAGTACAGGGCTCTTACCTGCATGGGGAGCAAGCCGGAGCTGGAGCAGGGCGCTGGGAGGAAGCATAGCAGCACCAGCAGTAGAGCTGAAGCACTCACCACACACCTGACCTGGCAAGAAACTGATACGGCTC